TAAAAGATCATCTTCTACACTTTTTCCAATTAAACTTTCCGTTATTTTACACGGAATTGATGTTGAAGAAACCGGGCGATAATTTGTTGCTACAGTTTTGTCTCCATTTTTGTAGATCGGGGAAACGTTTGCCGATCTGAACTGAAGTGGAAGTTGACTGGTAGCAAAAAAATAAAAACTGAGCAAACCGATAAACCATACTTGTAGACCTTAAATAAGTGCAAAAAAGCCAACAAACCTCAGTTTTTAAAAGGGCTGCATTTTGAACTTTCAGATTGTGGAGGTCAACTTTCAGTTGTTGCTTCTCGTTTTCGTATCTTTGTCGGAAAAATTTTCATCAAGTCATAAATCATTTATCAAGTTATAGCAAGAAAATATATAAAACAAAAGGAAATAATTTAAATAAAAATGTGGTAAAATGAAGGATCAAGGAACAAAAAATTTATTCAAATGAAAATCACTCTATAGGTATAAATGAATGGACTGAAGAGCGTTCTAAAATGCACAATAACGTTTATTAACAGTTAATAATTTTCTATAAAAGTAAGTACTGATTAAAAATTGTTCTGTTATTTTTTTCCAGCTCGTCCACTTTCCTGCTAGTCTCTTCGTAGTTAGCTCTTTGCTTTTCCAACAATTTTGTTAAAGTTTCATTCTTCAGAAAGCTTTCAATTGTAATCAATTTGAATGGCTCACACATTTTAAATTTGTGAAATAATATTGAAATATAAAAACTTTCAACTTATTTTATATTAGCATGACAATAAAATTAAAATCAATGTGAGGACTAACCAACTTTGCAGTTCACATTTAAGTTTGAAAAGTTCAATTTCATAATTCGTCGTGGTCGCCTGCAACTTGCTCTGAGTTTCATTCAAGACGTCTGTTATCTCGCTCAAGCCAAATTTGTGGAGGGCGTCATCCAACTCTAACTTAATAAAAAATAAATTGAACGAAGGTTGGTTTGTTTACAGAATTTTCACCCGGTATTTTTATTTGTACACTAACTTTATTCAGCACATGAAAATTTCAAATTAAAAGTTAATGGTCGACTTAGCTATGAATGGTATCAGTGCAAATCATTCAAAACAAAGATGAATCTTTTAAATTTTTCAGGCAAATTTAAATAATGACCACATGGAATGAAATGAAATGTGAAATGTGTTACAGAGTGGCATTCCGCTAATGGAGGAGGAGAGGCGCCCGGGAGCTCTTAAAATAGATGAGACACTTCACAAAATATTATAAATTTCTCTATTTCAAAAATCTTAAATGAATAATTGAATTAACCAAACTGTTCTCTCTTGAACACTCAACGTTAAATTTTAATTATGATATTTTAAATCTAGCTATTACAAGTAAAACAAATATTAACAACACTATTTTATTCTATTTAAAAAATTATTTATTAGTGTCTGTTAAGCACATTCTTTTAAATTTCAAAAATAAGATATTTTTAGTAGATACAGAAAATTTGGACAATTTTTTATTCCCTATATTTATTGAATAAAAGGTCAGTGTTTCGTGGTGCATTCTGAGGCTATCCTCGTCTATATGATATTTGGAGTAGGTGAGTGTCTAAGGATATACAAGGCTGTATATAGGACATCATCCTAATTTTTAAAAATGGTCAAGATCTCCAATGAACCATATATCATTGTTATACATAACTGAAAAATCCTATAAAGTCACTGAACTACAAAGGCTGTTTATGTTAGGATCCACTTCAACGTCCAGATTATTTCTCACCTCAAATTAACAATTCTTTCTATCAATTTTTAAAATATTTTACTCGCAACCCCTTATTGAACGATTTGTTAATTATTACTATATATATATATATATATATATATATATATATATATATATATATATATACATATACTATATATAACTTTTTGAAAAATGAAGACTTTTAAGGTCGCTTTAATTAAGTCTGGTTTACGCGTTCAATTTGTTTCAAGTCATTTAATTTCATTTGCTTGAGGATAACACATAATGGTTTAATCCTACATGTCAAATTAAATGTATAACAAATAGTGTTGACTGACTTCTGTGGGGCCGAACATTATTTATTTATGATTGAAAGGACATCTGCTGTTCATTAGTTTTTATTATTTATTTGAATCGATGTTTACACAAAGTAGACAACGTGACGTTCCTTGCGGTTTCCCATGAACATTTTATTTATTAAGCTCTTAAGTATGTTTGTTTTGGTTTTGGTTACAAAATGTTCAAAGGAACTGTTTCCTATGTATCTGTTAATTTGTTGTTTTATTTTAAAATAATAAAAAACTTATTTCCTAAAAAGTTTTAAAAAAGAAAAAAATTAAAGATTGCAACAACGTATTTAAAATATTATATATAGTTTACAATAATAAACAAAATTTTGGGTCAGTTTCATCGTTGTCATAAGGACTGGTTAGGTATGCAGGCACATCTCAAAGAATCGATAACAAAATACTTTAAAGTCATTTTTTTCAATTAAATAAATAACAAAAAAGCAGAAAATAGGTGCAATTATTTATTTAAATTTAAATGTCATTTTTGAAACAATCGAAGTACCTACACTTAAAAAGTAAATTTTATTTGCAACATAAATTCACACAAATTGTGTATGTGTTTGAGAAGCTTAGAAAAAGTGAAATGGTTAAATCAGGGACGATTGTCTTATCAAGATGAAACCAAAATAAAGCATCATCTTGACTGGGAAGCGAAGTTGAAACTTAGTCAAATAAAATCGAATGATTGGCAATGCAGAAAGTCAAAATAAAATAGAAACCTGGCAAAAGTTTTCACCAATCATTCTTTTTTTAATAAATTATTAAAGAATAAAAGAAAAAGTGCTTACATGGTTTTCTAGTTACTTAAAAAGTAAATGGCAATACGTTTTCTTTGGAAGGATGCGCCCAATGTATTACCGTTAAGCAGTGGAGTACCACAAATTCTATTCGAGAACCTTTGCTTTTTCTAATTTTTTTAGATGATTTGCTATAAAAACAAAAAAAATTTCAAAGACACTTTTTGGATAATACATTTTTTTTCTCCGACAATTTCAAAAATAATAATAAGGTTTGTTAGTTCGACAGTAGATAATTATTGTTTGAAATAAAAGAAATGTTTGTCTCTAAATAAATTAGCTCTATATATTTATGAAAGATTTTATCCAATCATGGTTCCTAACATTTCAACCAATTAAATTTACGTGGCTAAAAATAAATAAATTAATTAATTGTAATTTTGGACTTGTGCATTACAAGTAGATCGGCGTTAAATAATTTTAAAATTTCTAGTAAAAATATAATTAATAAATTTTTTATGCGAGTTTGAAAAAAACATATTAATTCATTAATGATTCTGTTTTATTTATTCTTTTCTAAAAGTGAATCAATGTGCCGTAATGTGATTAAATATGAATATCGGAGTTAATGATTCTATAGTTGGAATTTAAATAATGTAATTCGAAATCATTATATCAATAATACAATTTTCAAAAAATTAAAATCTACATGTTCTAATATAGAGAAATGTAGAAGCAGTTATTCGTTGGAAAGTGGCTGAGAAGATAATCGAACGTTTTGCAGGGTATATCGCCATGAGATATCTGTTAGTGACTTCCGCGATTGCCTAGAGAATTTTACAAAAAAAAATTAAATCGTACCGAATCAAGAAGCAAAAAATATAATTGATAAAATTGCCGCAAGTTCTCCTGTAGCAAAAAGAAGATTTTCGGTAACAAATGTTTTTTATTCGAATAAAAACATCGTCTCAAAATTAAAACCGTAACCAATCTACTAGTATCATCTTAGATTACCAAATATACGGCATGGAGGCCTGGTGGCTAGGAGATCGCATGGTGCTGTTTCGCACTGCGTACAGTGACCGGGTTCAAATATGACAACATGATCCCAGCCTATCACATGCTTCTTGGGTGATGTCGTTTAGCGTGAATTCACACTTTATATAAGGTTATTGCAAAATACTAAATGAGGTTACTACATGACTTTAAGGTGTAAATTTGGTTCTCCTAATTCTGCATAGCTCGATCAGGTTGTGGACGTTCTGGTTGCTCTGCCCAAAATCACCGTTATCCTCTCATACAAGTTTCTGTCTGCACAATGTTTTCTTTAATATGAATCTTTGTCATCCACTTGCTTTGCCCTGTATCGATAGACCTGCATTATCATCGATGAAATCAATCTGGTTTAAACCTCCCTTTAGTACGGTTTCTAGTTGGGCGGTAATTTCAACATCGGTTTGAAGTTCTATTATATAGTTCTATTTGAAGTTCCATTCGTAAAAAGTGCCAGATCCACATCAGTCTTTCAATTGAATTGCTTGATAAACGTTGACCGGTTCGGTTCTTTAACTAAAAGTTTCATTTGATATACGACCGCTTCAGTATATTTTGGATTTTCTGTATAACTTGCAACCAAATATTTTCCAAGGCATCCAGATTTTCAAGTAGTCTGATTTCTGATTGGAAGCTCCTTTTTATCAATATACTTTATATTTTTTGCCCTGTTTTGTCGATCTTAATTAGATTAATTCCCTACCTGAAGTGTTCGTCGAAAGTATTTTTTTAACTTTGAATATTACCTTTGAATATTATTACCTGCGAGTTATTAAGCCTTTCCATTTTCTGATGCATCATCGAATCACACACACACACGCACATCATATCGTACACAAGGCTGCCTCTTCGCGTTCGTTCGTTGAACATTCAAAGTTAATGTTATTCTATGTATACGGTGGATTGTTCGCCTCTATCTTTGTACAAACTTTTTTTTTTATTTAAGAGTGTAACATGAAGTTCTTATTTTTTGAGGGTCTAAAAAACCAATAGTTCACTCTCTGTTTTCTTTTGTTATATTATAACGCAACCAACCAAATAAAAAAATTATTTTAATTTAGCCACCACTAACTCAACCGAATTTTTCACAATGAAAAGTTTCTTACCGTTGATTGCACTACTTTTAGAATCGCTTTCGACGAAAAAATCAGAAGAAATCTTTTATTAGCAGTTAATTTTTAAAAAATTAGATTAAAAAATTCATAGTCTTTTTATAAATCTAAAATATCAGTCTTTGATTCAAAATGCTTTTGGATGAGTTTCACAACTAATAATGAAATGAGCCAAAGAGCAAATTAATAAAATTCTTACTATTATAAATATCTTACTTTACTAGATTTACATTTCATGGTAACATCTGTTCGATGCGCAACTAAAGCTTAAAAATGAGACTTGACCACTTGCTTTCATACAAATATTTGTTAATGGGAAGTGGTACTACCAGCTTGCTTTCACCAATTAGTCATCATTTACATATAATACTTCAATGCACAACTGCTTAATACCCAATATATTCGCATTATTTAAAAATAATTTTTAATAATCGAACCTATTTAACATCTGTGTTACACATTAAAATAAATTTGACAATCTGTCCAATCCTTACCATTTGAGTACTAAATATATATTACAACGTTCAAATTATTGCGTCAATTATATTTCAGAAATAAATCTTAAAAAATAGGGCCACACTTAAAATAAAACAAATCTTATATCAAATAAAAAGTGCATTTTGTATTAAGATTTAAATTATTAATTAAACGCTACGTGCAAGTCCTTAAATAGTAGTTTAAATATAAACTGAGATTGCATATAACATAACATGAACAACTGTAATTGAAAAAAACAAAAAAAATTCCAGTTATGAGGTTCATAACAGTTTATTCATGATTGAAAACCTTGTAAAAAATTCATATCAACGATAATATTTTCAAATCAAAGTTATAAAATAAATATACAGTTGTATTCTAAGTGGGCATACGAAAACACGTTACAAATAGCTAACATGTTTATCTTCTGCAGAAAATTTCAAGAGTTTTTAAACAAGTCATTGAATTTCTCTGATCTCTCTCCCGCTCTCCTCTCTTTCTCTCTCTATTCTCACAAAAATGCACATACATATTTGTGAAGATATAACCATTTTTCGTCTATTTACACGCCTGGGCCCGTATATTTCGTCTATTTACACGCCTGGGCACGTGAACTAACGAAATGGCTGTTTCTTTTATTACAAAATGTTGAAATGAAAACTAAAATGGCACATTAACATTCGAAATCACGATTCATCAAAATCAAGCATCGTACTCTGCCGTGGATCTGTATCTGTACACAACATCAAAGCCAAAAGTGAATGCGAATGCTAACGATTTAATCGGTCTCTTTTTATCAAAACAAAAAATCATAAATTACCAATAAAGCCTTTTAAATGACTTTCATGAATATCATTTAGGATCGTCCAACATTTCATCCTCAGACTATAGATCTATTGACTAGCAATAAATAAAATGAACTGAAACGAATATTGTATTGAATGTTACATATTAGTAGGATAAGCACAATTCATTTTATTTGTCCATTGAAGTTATGGCCACTTGATCTTACAGATCCGTTTGAATAGCTAGAATAATTTGATTGTTGTTGCAAATCCGATTGTTTGTTGTTATTATTGTGATTATTATGATTATTATTGTTGTTGTTATTGTTGAGACTGTCTGGCAACATTGATGAGGCGACATTTTGTTGTTGGTTGAAGATGGCAGCTGGATTGGCCCTCTGGATGAGGTTGCGTGGATCCACGACGACAGATCCGCCAGCGTAAGGATTGAAGTTAGCAACTTTGTACGGCGGGAGTACATCAATGTTGGACATCATGGATTCGCGAGTGTGCTGGTGCTGTTGGTGCTGTTGGTGCTGTTGTTGCAGTGACAAACTGGATGAGGCGTTTTTGCGTGCGCCGATGTTGGTGGGTCTGGGTGCAGGAAGATGAAGAGTCATGTCGATGGGGGAAGGCGAGGTGCTGTGCGTGAAAAAGGACGAGTACTGCAAAGGGTGGGTAAACTCCGAATGGAACTGGTGGAGTTTGGCAAAATAAGCAGCTGGGTTTAAATAGGCTGCTTGTTGCTGACGTTGTTGCTGCAACAGGAGATCGTGTTGCTGATGGATGATGTCGTTTGACTGTTGCGTCAGCTGAAGATGGGAGTGAT